CCTGAGGTGCCTCTTGGTGAGCCACCTTCTTCTTCCTCTTCATGGCCTGGAATAGCCCAGAAGTTGGCATGCTTGACATGTTTCTTGCATGAGAAATCTAAGGGTGAGCCGAATTGTAAAAAAAAAAAGGAAGAAAGTAAATAAGGAAAAGAAATGCCCAAGCATGAAACGACGACCTACTCGGAGGACTCAACCCAACCTGGATCAACTTCTCCTTGGCCAAGTATTCACTCAGCATTTACTTCGAGTCCATTAGGACCTGCACTCTTTCCTACATCCGCTTCCTCCTCAGTGTCCCTCATTCCCTTTCTCCAGGTCATCAAGAACGGCCATCTGCTACCTAGGTCAAGGAAGAAATGGTTCCTCTTCCAAGCTGGTACCTTGGAGGGGAAGCCATTTAGTAGCTTACACCCAGGGCACTAGGACAAGTAATAACTGTATATCCCAGGGGTACTAGAGGGGTTTTTTCTTTATATGGCATATGCCAACAAAGGTCTTAACATCTAGGGGAAGCCGACGTGGTGATAGAAGGAGATGGTGCCGACCAGCATCCTAATGGAATCGGGATGAAGCTGACCTAAGCTAATGTTATAGTAGTTTATCACCTCAGGAATAAGTGGATGAAGGGGAACCGAAAACCCGCTTTCAGAGCCTCCTCGAAGACAACGACCTCGTCTTCCTCGTGCTCCCACGGGTACTGCCCAAGGGGAAGGGAATATCCAAATGGATTCGGATTCCTATATTGAGTTGCGAGCTCGTAGACGTTCTCAACAGAGAGCTCAGTGGGACCGAACTGGTCTGGTGCTTTAACCCTATGGGAAGACGAAGCCCTCTTATGAGAACCTCGTAGGTCTTGAGCCGAGGTTCCTTCCTTGGCTTGGAAGGACAAACCCCTCTCTTCCCCGGACTCACTATCAGACATTATGAATAAAGTAGAACTAAGGGAGATGACTCACCTAGGACGAGTAAACTGACCTTTCCGACAACTTCGACAACGCCGAGCTCCACCATCTCACCCGAACTCCAAAGATAGGGACAAGAGAAATAGGCCCCTGAGCATCCTTTTTATAGACGAATGAACCAAACTATGGACGGTTGAGATCAGTTGGGTCCAACGGTTTGCAAGGGTGTGATGGTTCATATTCCAAGGTGAAATCAGTTTAGCACATTTTTTATGTCTACGTGACGTAATGATTGTGTGGCATCTGCGCATCCCCGATACGTTACCTTGTGCCTAGGCTGGACCTCGAACCAATCAGATCCCGAGCCATTGGCTAGACCACAAATGAGGACGAAAATCAGACCAAATCACCTTGGGTTAAGACTACTCCCTCACCGGACTGGTCATACCAAACTTTGGAGTGGGGGGCAATTGATGAGGGGTAATTTGGTCATCTAATGATGTAACGATACGTAGCATTGCAGAATAGCAGAATGACACCTCAACACTATGTTAGTAGACCCTAGGAGAACTTTAGACACTTTACAATTGCATCGGCGACCTCGACACCACCTTGGTAGGCCGGACTATGAATAGTTAGACAAGACCTCAGGTCAGCGTAAGAGGCAACTTGCTTCCATTGATTTAACCTATTTCTGGTTAGCGACTACTTGGCGTGCCGAGTGACCTCCCCCTTAAGTAGGCTATCGCCTCCGACTTCCTTGGGATTACGACGCCACGTAGGAAGAGCTAGTTATCACCCTGCCCACTTCGGGCGGGATGGGATAGACATTACCTACTTACATAGAGTCCACTTCCATGCGTGAAACCACCTCCAAACCACACGGGCCGGAGATCCTAAACGTGTTTTGTGAGGCTCACGACAACTCGCCTATATGAGGACCTCACCTCCAACCTCATAAGGTACACACAATTTAGCACTCAAGCTCTCTAGCTCTCTCTTGCTTTCTAGCTCTTAAAAAACTCCAGTTTGTTGACTTAAGCATCAGAGTGCCCACAACAGTTAAAGTAGCCCGGGTACTTTGATCCTCTCTCTTTCTATACAGCTCGACCAAGCGACCTACATAGTCCGACGTCCAAACTATCCTCCAGTTTAGTTATGCATATGACATTGAGTTTTCATGTAATTATAAGAATGTTATTAACATGCAATTACAATATTGCCACAAAATTGTTATTACTCTCATTACTTTTCATTTATTACCCATATATACTTATATATATGTATAATTTAACATATATATATATATATTAAATAAATTAATATTATACATTATTTTCAATAGGTTTATTATAATCAAGTCGAACCAATGTGTTCAGTTTTGGGTCTAAAATTACAAACCTTATCAGGTTTGGTTCGGTTCTGGGTCCTTAGTAATTCTTGTCAAGTAAGTTCCAGTTTTACTTCGACCCAACTCGTTGACAACCCTATCTCTCTCCACACCCACTATAATACTATTTTTAATTTTTATTAATCTTTATTTTCAAATTTTCATTTATTTTCAATCACTCTCCATGAACTTTTACAAGATAATAAATATTTTTTATATATTTTTTCATTTAATTAATTAATTAATTCTTCTAATTATGTTTTCATCTAGGAAGCCTTGAGTTGGGATTGAAGTATTGGATGAACTTTTAATATTATTTAGAAGATAATAAATGATTTTAATTTTTTTTTTCGTTAATCAATATATTAACCAATTAATTAAGTCTTCTAATTATGTTTCATTTAAGCAAGCCCCAAGTTGGGATTGAAGTATTGGAAACAAACCCAAATTGAAAACTTGTAGGCCTAATGCGCACTCAAGCTCGAGGCTAGGCTTGAACAAAAAACCTAGGCTGAAGACTTGAATTTTCTGTTAGGTGGGCTTATGTTGGTTGGGCCCAAGCTTGACTTGAAAATTTGTGAGCCTAATGAGAGCTCGGGCTAGGTTAAAGTATTGGGCCAAAGCTTGAGCTAAAAATTTGTAGGGCCAAGCGCAAGCCAAGTCTAAATACAAAACTTAGGACTAAGCATAGAATTTTCTAGACAAGACGAGCCTTTTCATCTACATCTCTTTAACGTCTCATTCGAATTCCATGGAACAAAAATAAACTAATATTTTAAAACATTTTCTCTTCTCTCACTCTCTCTCCAAGAATCCAAAATGTATTTATTTAAGATTTTATTAATTATTTTAAAGTTATTAATTATAATTATAAAATTATTTATCTTAAAATTTGAATAATTAATGCAATTTAAGTATTTAATCAATTTAATTAAATTAATAATTAATGAATTTACTATATTTAATCAATTAAATTAAATTACACTAATTTGCTTCATTTACGCAAATGATTAACTTTAAATTTACCTAAATAAATAAAATTGCATATTTAATATATTTGTATTCTTATTAGCCCCTGTGATGCATTGGCACCAGCTAGTATAAGTGAGAGTGAAAGGATTAAATGAAATGATAGCAACGGTACTAATGGTCGAAATGATGGACGGTGGCAGCAATGTTTAGGCACAATGGTGGTAGAGAAAGATCTTGATGCTGATGCATTTCCTTTTTTTTTTATTAATAGTTGGACGATTTTAAGATTGCAGAAATTGTGTTTTAGACAGAAACTAATGGTAGAATTAGATGTCTGATTTGATTAATGAGATCCTTTTTAGCTCCCCACTGGACCCACATCATCATGTTGTTAATGCAAGAAAAAATTAATTTGTTCAAATAAATCAAAAATATTTGACGTTTGGTGGCGGTAAAATTGAGAAGAGGGGGACCATATATAGCAGTGTACAGACATCTGACACCCAACTCATGATATGTCATTCAATGGAGGCCGTTGAGATTCGAAGCCTTATCTAGTCTTTCTCTGCTCCGCTTCCTTTTTTTCACTTTATATTTTATAATAATTTTACATCTGTTTTTTTCTTTTGTTTTTTTTTCTTTGTTTTTTTTCTGAAAACGGGCCAGCCAGCACCCAGCGGGCTGCAGGCAGGGGTAGCCCTCCGCCCAAAATCCTCAGTCCCAGTCCCCAACATGTGAAGATGAAACTCCGATCCCACAAAGAGGATGAATATTTGTCTCATGCTCGTTCCCTCGCTTCTGGACAGTAGTTTGGAGTAAGGTTTAGCTGTTCAGCGCGGGCTGTGGAACCAATGATAAAATTCCACGTCAGTATTAATACATGGGGCTGCATCTTTTACAATACAATAGGGTCTATGAATTTATTATCGGCATGGAAAATAATGCCTTCTTATTTGTTACAGTTGTCTTAGAAAAATTATTGCTCCAAACTATATTTTAGAAATCGAAAAAATATGGTCTAGAGCAAGATCAAATTTGATGTTTTTTTGGGAAAATGTTGGATTGTTACCAGTGATACAATAACGTAACATCAATGTGAATTATTTTGGACATTGGATAATAAGATTAATGTTAAAAACGCTACTATCATTACTGATACCAAACAAAACCTATTTTCTCATAAAAGCCTTATCCAGTACAATTTTTTCTCATAAAACAGTATAATATTCTCAGAACAGCCTATAATAACATTTAATTACGGAAGATGTTCTCAATGCACCATAGGATGTCCTTGATAAACCGGTGTGAATAGCCATGTGTGAGGAGCAGATCCGGTCTTCGAATTCCACTTTTGTGGATTGGTTGGTTAGGAGGTAGAATCATGGAATGATGGTACGGGATCTGCTCCTCACACGGAGGCGCTCACATGCACATCCATCGTGGATTGGGAACATCTCTCGTGAATAATAACGGGAGATGTTCCCAATGCATGGTACGATGTGCGTGTGAGGCGTGAATGAGGCGCCCTGAGTAGCAGATCCGGTCTCTGGAATGGTGGGAGAAGAGATATAGTCGGCCTCTCGATTTCTTTGTTTTCTTGGGAAGACAAAAAGAAGAGAACGTATGATCGTAGACAGCCTTTTACTTTATCGTCATCATTACTATTATTCCGTATTTTCCTGTATTTCTAAAAACAATTAGAAAAAGAAAGAAGACAGCACAAAAAAGGTTGAAAAAGGTCGATCGAGAAAAGTGTCAAATATATAAAAAAAATGAAAGAGTGCTCCCCCGACTTTTATTTTTTTAACCGCTTAGAGATGGAGATGGAGGGGTGAGTGGTCTGTGGTATTATGCAACTTCACAGTAACCACGTCGATGAGTAAACAAATTACAGRTTATAGAGAAATAGAGAGAGACACAGGTGCGTTTGAAGCGGCTAGAGCTAGAGACTAGACACTAGAGTAGTAGAGTGTGTGCGTAAACTGTTCAGTCACCTCGGGCCGAAGTCTCTCGCCTTCTTCGGTTCTTCTCCTGGAAAAATGAAAATATTAATCTTTGACTGACTTGGTCAATGGTCGTTGATGAGGTTGAAAACTTGATGGACGGCTGTTGCAATCTCATCAGCTGATCCTAGCTTGCAGTCATCTTCCATCTACACACTCCAACCAAGAAAAGAAATTGGTTTCAGGGTTTGGGCTAATTGCTGTTTCTACTTTCTAGTTTCTACCACCCCCCAATGGCCATTGATCAGTAAATGAGAATGCATGGCCCAGACCCAACAAAAATTAAAGAAATTAAAATAAAAATAGCACAACGTATATACATTTCAAGTCAAACTATTTGACCTTGAGATTGAAAGAGTACAGAACAGAGCCTTGGGAGGAATGAATGCTAAGGTGTAAGATGGCTAATCTGAGATCTTCTAAAGCAGCAATGGTTTTCAGAAGCTGTCCAGGCCTCCTGGGAGATAAAATTTTCAGGTTCACGTGTGCTTCCATTACTACCACTTCTATATCCGCCACCGTCGATTTGTTCTCCTCTCTCAATTCCTCCTTGCTCTTACCTCTCTCTTCCCAATGCGTCGACCACGGTAACGAGGATTCCCGCTCCCGCCTGCCGGTTTTGTCATTGACGTCGTCGTCTTCCTCTTCCGACTTCTTCATTCTCTTTTGAGCTTGCAGAGATTGTAACAGTTGCTCCAATTCCTTCACAAAGTCGAAGGCACCCCCAATAATCGATGCTTGGTCACCCTTAATTCATTACCATCATTAATCTTAATCAACATATACGTATACAAATATCCATCACATCTAAAATTCATAAGAATTCGACTATGATACCGGAAAACTTACAGCCATTCACTGACCAATCAGCCGGTATTCATCACGATTCACAGGGTGCTTTGGTTGGTCAAAGCTATTCCGATATCATAGACTTTCCAAAAAAAAAATACAGAAGGGCGGGGAAGTTTGAAATATTAAAAGTAAAAAGAATAAGTTCCCGTTAAATGTAAACTTAAGATTAAGATAGATAAAACAAGGTTATGTATAAAATCCATGGATTAAAGGGATCATAATACCCTTTGAATAAATGAAGAAGGCATAAAGGACTTGAGAGCGCTGAGATGGTCGTTCATCTGCTTCCTCCGATTCCGTTCGACGGCAATGTGAGCCATACGTTGATTCTCTACCTCCTCCTTGTTCTTGCTCTGCTTTTCTCGCTTTCTCTTTCTCCTCTCCCGAGTAACTGCGGTGGCAGGCTTGGTAAACCTAGGACAGCTCGAGTTTCCGCCTCTGCACTTCTCCGGTGAATTGTGTTCCCCATTACATGCGGAACTCACCACCACTTCCAGGCACGAAGATGACTGTGGATGATGAGGCGCCTTGGTTTCGGATTTAACTGGCGAATGTGCTTCCGATAAATCGTAGGTGATGCAGCTTTCCTGTTCCAGCGTCTGAACGTGGGATTCCATCTCGATCCAATTGTTTCTCTCCCATGGCTTCTGCCGCTGCTGCTGTTGTAATCTCAGCAGAAGTTGAAAGCTGGATTCCGCAAATGACGGTGTTTCTACGTCTTGTAACATCTGAAGAAACGGCATTTTGAGTTCTAATCTTGGCATTGCCAAGGTTTGTCGCTCTTGCTCCAATCTCAGGTTCTCGAGGCTGATGGACGATGGTCCGCAAGTAATATGTAAAGCATCTACTCCCTGTTCTAAGAGTTCCGCGTTCAAATGTTCTCCAACTCCAAGCAACTATCAAAGAAAGAAGCGGCAAGAAAAGATGAAGAAAGAATAAAAGATGAGAGAAATTTACAACTGGGTTTTCCATGAAAGCTTAAACAATGCAAGACAGAGTCCCTTCAAACAATAGATTGGTCTGTTCAGTCTGAACAGAGGAAAAAGAACAGGAACAGAATAAGAATATATGGTGTTGCAGATAGCAGAAGGGATTAGGGACGGTGGTTTCATTATGTAATATGTAACAAAAGGATATGGCATTGCATTGAATGCAAAGCTTGGTAAGAAGTTAATGCAATCCCTTCCTGAAATGGGGATTTCAAAGGAGAAGGGAGAATAACTAAAAAAAGGGTAAGATTTGAGCTAACTTACACAGGGATTGATGGGTTCTTGGAGCTCCTCCATTACAGCGGAGTTGTTGTTGGTAAGTTTGTACTATAGCAGGATTATAGTTTTCCTCCAGTGCCTTTAATTCTCTCCTACAGACTAATATTCGACAATGCAACTAGGGGAAGAGCGGAGAGTAGTAATAAATGTCGCCGCGGATTGACAGAGCAAGATCCATGACAAGAATAAAGTGCACAATATATTCCGCTGTTTCTGATGCTATAGACACTCCCACGAAGGAAACATATTAAATGCCTTGGGGATGGGGGCTTCTCTGTCTCACGCACACTGCAGGGAGAAATAGAGAGAGAGAGAGAGAGAGAGGGATGAAGGTGAGGGTGAGGGAGAAACAGAGGAGGACAGAGGAGGGGGTGCGTGTGGTGAGAGAGAGATGTCTGCTTTGCAAGGTCCCATGCATTATTGGAATGGCAGATTTGTCCAGCAGCGGGGACAGACGGCTGTGGGGACTCTCCAAGCGCACAGCAAGAAGGAAGTGTTGGAGGGGGGTTTGCCTTTGCCATGGATTGTGCTGTGTCACTTGTCTGATGATGATGAGATGGGTCATCCATCGTTATACCTCTCTACCCATACCCATGTCTATATGCATACATCCACACATACACAGTACCTATATGCATATATTATTATAAAATACATGTATTTGAAGGAGGTGGTGGTCCTCAGTCCTTACTAAGTTACTCTTTACTCCTTAGTCGTTAGTTCTACAGCAAATCTAAAATCAAATCCTTGGATTAATTTGGACGACCTCCTGGATTATTAAAACTCAACTGACCCTGTCATAGCCATGTGTGAAGCCTAGACTCCATGAATCAACGTGAACTCCAGCCCCAAGACGGCAAATCCAAACCAAATAGGCTTTCCTTTCTTTTTCTTTTCTTTTACTTTTGATCTTGATGGGACACTGCTCTGCCCTGCCTTACGAATTATAAAGGTACGTTTGATTCGAGAGAATAAGAGTCTGAAATCAAAATCGGAATGATTCATTTCCATTATGAATGTTTAGTTAAACGAAATGGAAATCTCATTCCCATTATAGGCGGAATGGGATTCCCTCGTATGGGAGAATGCTCATTTTTTACCCCACCCAAAGGAATGCCATTCCCATGTCATGTTTCATGTGACCAAAATGTCATACACACTCGCAATGAAATACGATATTCCCCCATGTTTTTTTATTCTGTTTTCTGTCAATTGTGACAACTGTGTAGATGAAGTTGAATATTTTCTGTCAATTTTGTCTTTTAATAAAAATGAATACTTTCTATTTTCTGTTAACAGTAGCGTTTGATAACAACTGTGTTGAATAAAAATGAAACACGACAGCATAAAAAATAGTTTTCTACAAAATTATTTAATTTCTGCATTTCTTATAAAATTTATATATTTTTTAATTTTTTTATATATTTTTTAATTTTTTATTTTTATTAGGGGCAAAATTGAAAATCATGGCTGATTCCGATTCCAGCCTCTTAGCGAACCAAATACCATAAATCAGAACCAGGTACCGAACCAAACAATCAAGCAAAATAGGCCATTCTGATTCCGATTCTAAGATATTTCGATTCTGACTCTGATTCCAATTCCAATTGCGAACCAAATGGGCCCTTAGATTATCGTTTAAACCGTCTTTGCCTTTCAGTTGTTTTCACACTAATGCGATCGAACCAGGTACCGAACATTATCACTATATATACTTATATATATAGTTTCAGAAGTAGACTGTCAACCAAACCATTAGCTCCTAATTAAAGGATACATAAATGAAAGTTTCTTTACCGGAAAAGAAGATTGAAGGAGAGAGAAGTCAGAAGAGAATGCAGCCAAAGAAAAAAAATAAGGGAAAATTCTATATTATTATCATGTACTTTGTGTTTAGTGTCACTTTCATCTCTGAACTTTAAAATGCATAATTTAGTATCCAAATTTTTAAAAACCGTCAATATAGTACCTGCCATTAACAAGCCGTTAAGTGCCATTTAAAAAGACATAAATACCCTTCAAGTGTCATTTAATTCTCTTTATTAACCATCCAAACGTTGACAAAAAATGAACAGTCTCAAATCCTTGTCTCTTCTATTCAAGAAAGTTTGGGTTATGTCTCGGTGGGCAAGTACTAGATTGGCAAAGTTTGGTATTAAATTGTCATGTTTTAAAATTCGGGGACCAAAGTGGCATTACACCCAAAGTACAGGGTATTAATCTAGAATTTTCCCAAAAAATAAAAACTTGGATTCTGAAAGTTGAGAATTATATATCCTTAGTTAGTTCTTACTGCTCGCACGGGATTTTGGTAATTCCTAATGCAGTTCACACTTAATTACGCGTCTTTCATTGGGCTTTTATCATTTGACAATTTTAGGGTGTCAATTTGACTGGATTTGGTCCAATTCAATCTAGTCTAATATGAGTCTATTATAAATGGACCAGGTCCAATTCAATCCATGTTTTATCTTCTACCAATGGACTAAAATTTTGTTGTGAATTGAGGGAAGTTGTCAAAATCGAGGGCTTATACACGTAATGCACATAAGACTGGCACACAAGAAAGGGACACTAGAAACAACTTAAAAGCTTAAGCTATTGGATTATGAGCCACTCTTGTATATAAGTCCCTTACAGCTCTCTTATTCCTTTCCAATGTGGGATTCTCTTCAACTACTCACACGTAAATCCCAACAATCTCCCCRTCACATATGAGTCTCTTCACATGGATAGAGACATCATGAGAGATTAGCCGCTCTTGACAACTATTCGACCATAATGAAATTTGCAAAGCCATGGGAGTCACCACGTCTGTAAATAATTACGCCCAACTAAACTTTCGGCTCTAATACCATTATTGTGAATTGAGAGAAATTGTCAAAACCAGGGGCTCATACATGTACACATACACACATAGGTCTTCCATACAAGAGAATGACACCATAGACAACCCAAAAGGTTAAGCTATTGGGTTATGGACCACTCTTGTATATAAGTCCTTTGCACCTCTGTTATTCCTTCCCAACAATATTGGCTCAATCCAATCCAATTTAATATAAATCCATTATGAAGGGACCATGTTCAATTCAATCTAATATATATTTTGGCCCATTAAATCTATACTAGTTCAATCCATCCAAATTGATTTTGATTTTGATGGGATTCAACCCAAACCAATCAATTGACACCCAAATTCTTGGGAAGATCTCCAAAACCAAAAGGCAATTTGCCAAGAGATTAAGAGACAAAAGAAGGCTAATATATATTGCATATATAGCAATATAGAAGAGATTGTCTATATATATACATGTGTGTGTGAGATATATTTATACAAATAAATAATATATATTGGATCGAATCTTTTTCAATTGAATAAGGGTGATCCAAATCTGATTTTTGATCCAAAGATCTGAATCGAGAAAATCCAAATTCTAGATCGGATCCATTTGCACCCGTAGTTAGTTATGGAGAATAGATGATAGAGCAACCATCACAAAGCCTAATATATTTGGTTTGAAGGAAAAGATAGAAAAAGGAAGGGAAAAACCTTTACAAACCTCCTATAGGTTTCTCTATCTTTCCCTTCCTTTCCCTTCAAACCAAACATAGGCGGGCGGGCATGGACCACATTGCGAGCATTGGGAAAAGTATGCAGAATTCTGAATTGGGCTGATCGGTACTTCTCCCTTAAGTATTTGCTTCACCAGAAACTACAACCAGCAGTCGCTCCTTTTTCTTGGCTTTGCCCCCGAAAAGAAAGAAGAAAGGCTCCAATGTAAGATATTCTTATCCTCCAGGTACAGAAATGTGTGGACATTTGAAAAGCCAAAGGACGATAAATGCCAGTTAAAAAAAAAAAAGGTTAAAGCTAGCGATCTCAAAATGCATGGGACACATATTGCTGTTTTAGCAGAAATAACACTAGCCCCACCTGCTGCTTGTTCACACCTTCATAAATTCACTTCTGTTAGGGAGAGGGGAAGAAGAGAGGAGAGAGAGAGAGAGAAAAGCATAAAATGATATATAGTCCCCACTCCAAGACATGTTGAACTGTGCAACAAGTTCAACACGTTTAGCTCCAGGGCAAAGGCTGACAGGTTTTAAGTGTCATATTCGTTGAAAACCCTTGCCTCCTTTCTCTGCAAAACTACTGGTACTGGATAGTAGATACCCTTCTCATGGAAGCAAATGCATCATTTAGCCTCACATAAGCGCACAGTCACCATTACCCTGATCCACCCAGCAATATGCTTTCTGCTAGATGTGGTTGTAGTAACAAAGAACAAATTCCCTGGCAAAAGGCATTTTAGGGAGTATAACTCTGCACAAAACCCGATCGAACCATATATACACACAGGCTGATCAGTTTGCACAAACCAAAATCATCCATATCTTCAAACAATGAGCTAGCTAGCAAGGGCAACCCAAATCCAAACACAAGCCTAATATATATACTCTCTACTACCACGTCTAAGACGTTATCTGCATCATCTGCTTCTGCTTCTGGATTGATTTTTTCATGGCAAGCCATCAGAGCCTTCACCACCTCATCCACCTCATTCTCTTTCGGTGTTCTTTCTATCATACCTTCGCTATGCTCAAATAGTATCAATTTGAGTATCTTATTAGGAGAATATGAGAAGGTAAGAATTTTTTGATGCTCCAGGCCGAAGAAAAAAAGATTACAGCCACGAATAATCGAACACAAGTGGTTCTTACAACCACCAAAAAGATAGGGATATAAAGCCAAATTAAAAGAATTTAAAAAAAAAAAGTTAGAGGGGATTCATGGAAAAAACTGAAGTTGGTTGAAATCTGAAAAAAGATAGAAATTATATTCAACAGAATATAATTAAACAATAATAATATATATTTTGCTCTTATTTTTATTGAAGATGGAAGCAGAGAACTCTACAATCGTACCCGAAACTAAGAATGACATACGGAGGTGGTTCTTATATCATTAGAGATCTGTGGAACTTAGATACTTATTCTAACACCCATTATCAATCTACCTCATGCAAGTTCTCCTAGAAAAAACAATGATTGCCTTATCAGTTCATATGTTTCGATCAAACAGAAAAAATGATTGCACAGTTTTGACAATCATGTTGTGGACTATTATACTAGCTAGGAATTGTAGCCAATAGGAGTTCTGTTATGGACTCAGAGATAACTCTCTCTCTCTCTCTCTATACTGTTCCTTTCTTTGTATTAAGCCAACAACAAGCTCCATGGCCAACAATCCACATGCTAAGAATAACAAAAATTCCTAGTAGACCATATTTTGAATCTAAATAGCTTGACCATAACACCATTTCTTTCTGATTGTACTTAGCTAAAAAGACATGGTTTCTTCACAATTTTATGGCTTGGAGTGTTCTAAGCTATCTTGGTCTTCAAGGAGATTGTTCTATCCCTACAGTTCTGCATCACTTTTAAGGTTTCCCTTTTCTACCTTCTTGCTATCTTTTTTTCTTTCCTTTTTCAAAAAGGGCCAGTCATGGATAAGAGCTGTAAAAAGACATAGAAATAGGATGCAAAAGGAGATGGCTAAAGTTTAGAAAGGGGGTGAAAGATTCAAAATTTAGCAAAAGTTTGCATGTGACTCTTGATAGTGACATGGAAAAACTAGATAGCTAGATGAAGATTCAAATTTTAGTAAAAGTTGCCGACTCAACCATTTAGTCCCTCCTTAATGGCATCTCACCCTTTATGCCTCTTATTTCCATTGACCACATCTTGATACCCATGCTTCTTTTGCAGAATGAATAGCTTCTAAGAGGCAAAATAACCAAGAACCCCACTCTAGCAGGAATTTCCATATCTCATAAATAAAAGAAACTACTACATCAAGAAGTAAAACAGAATCAAATGTTCACATATCCAATATTTAGTTCTTCTCTGCTTTCCTTTTTTGTTACATTCTCTACCTTCAATTGGCATAAAAAATAAATTCATCCCTTATGATGGTGGGCTACAAATTTACATTTACACTGTTCTTGTTTCTTATTTTCAACTTTTTGAATGAAAACCTACTTTTTCTATTAGCATTAAACCATCCAAATGTCTGGTAACCAGAACTCCCAATAGAGATCCTTGGGTTTGTTTAGGAATCTTTCCAAATGTGTCAAAACCAAAAAATGAAAGCAAGAGACTAAATGCACAAAACAAACATGAAAATGATGAATTGGCAGAGCATCATAAAATTCATGAGTGATGACAATGGTAGGCACTGGGAAACATAAAGAAAAAAAAGAGAGAAAACATGAGATCAAAGAAAGAAACAAATAAATCATCATATTTAATGCAATAAAAAGACAAATCTAAACAGAAGCAAAGTATAGGGGATACAATAAGGGAGAAAACAAATATTCTTTACTAGATAAGTTTGTAGAAATTTAAAGTGGAGAAGAGACCCTCAATTACAAGTTTGTGGTGTATGTTTGTATTTATAAACTACACTTGAGTTCATAACTAGAAAGGCAAAGCAACTCCAAACAAAATCATAACATCTTCTTCAATTCCTTCAGCATGGATGACCAATAAATCTACAAGGTTGAATACATTATTGTAGACATCCTAAAAAATGGTAGAGTTTCTTTCCTTCCAAACACTTTAGAAGTTGGCAAAAGGAAGAAAAGATATAGATACAAGGAAAACCAATAGAACATATATAGTAGAGGACCAACGAAGAATTATGTCAATTGATTCCGTGTCTTTTCTCAATTTACAAACTTCACAATAAATATGTAAACCACTAAACATTTTACAGATTGACATTCACGAATTAGCCTATCTCTAACAAAAGTAGTATCTCTTAGCCAAAACTTTTAATGCAATAAAGATTGTCTTCATATTACAACACCATGTATAACTGGCAAAATGCGCATTGGATGGATAACAAAAGTAGTATCTCTGTTTTTTTTTCTTTTGTTTTTGAATATCAATAAAAAAGGGTGAAGAATACAAATAGGTGATAAGGCATCACATCCGAAGAAGAACAAACATGCATCCTCTATCTCCCACTAAGTAAAGAATACCATACAGTGTTTTAAGTTTCACATCTTTAATGGGTAATTAAATAAAAATAATTCAAGGAAGATCTATAGCTTCTGATTTTGAGCACTTGAATGTGCCCGAGTTGTTCAGATCTCAGTCTATTTAGAGCCTATAATCTATCTTTGATTCTAGACTAGTCATTTGTGTCCAATAATCTGTTGTACTTTCTATTTTCTCTAATTGAATAAAATCTTACCTTACCTTTCAAAACCAAAATAAATATAAATAAGTCAGCTAGAGTCTTGTCACTAGATCAAATGTCTATGCAAAATATCAGCTAAGTGAAGGGAAGGGARATCTATCATATGGATGGCCGAACCATGCAGGGTGGCTGGGCAAAATTTCAAAAATTTCTTTTCTCCCTTCCAGGAATCATATTCCCAATTTTAGAAAAACTACATTTTTCAATGATTATTCTTGATTCAAACCGGAGCAGATCTGAAACCAAAAGAAAGTGAGAGCAATACCTGATACAGAATCCACACGTGTAGCTCTCAAAGTAGGTGTTCATGCCCAAAGAGGGTACTAAAACCCGCTTTCACTAAAAATGGTGCAGCTTGAGATGAAGCAAGTTCAGCAATGCAGTCCTTTAGTAAGAACTACAATCCAACGGCTTGGATCAAGCAAGGGAGGCGAGCACTAAATCATATATGATCTTTCTTGCAAAAATCAGAATCAGAACTGATCTCTATCAGTTCAAGAGTGGAGATCAAATTAGGGTTAGGGCGGAAAGAGCAGAAGGAGAGAGGGAGAACTGAGAGCAATGTGTAAACTTGGAGCAGTTCGCCCTCTTCTATTTATATAGCTTAAAGAGTTGCACTCCTAATCCAATTAGGAGTTTCCTGATCCAAATCTTTATTTGGATCTGGACTCTTTAAGTGGATAAGTCTTATCTTCTTATCCTTATCTGTTGATCCAAACCCATATCCTTATCCAAATTCGCCCATATTGATTAATCCAATTAATCTGGCTTATTATAGGCCTTAGGCCCATTAAGCAAGCAGACTCACATCCCCTTTTGATTGCTGGCTAACTTGGCTCTCTTTGTATGGTGTGGGACCTTAACATTGATCTTCACAAAATCCATATGGGTTCAGCCTAGCTTCTGTGACAAAGCCTGGCCGAATTCACTACTAGACACAATGAACCATTGAGTCCATCAATATGGGCTCTTAATGGGCCCAACATTTACACTAAATGGTCGTTGAGTCCAGCCACCTTATAAAGGCCCAAGGATTATGGTCTTAAGTGAGATTAGCCCATCAGGTATAAAAGCCCTAAATAGTCTTACACTTAACCTCTCAGCCCTTAATGATCAAACACTACCCGACAAGAGAGGACCTCTCCCTCGGCTGCAAGGTACAGTGTTGCACTCTCTGCTTGGATGGATTCCGGGAATTAAAACCTTTTTGCAAACAAATTTCAAACATGGTTGAAATCGACTGTTGGCAATTTTTGGTTTCCATCAAAGAGAATGCAGTCCCCAATCATTCACTTTGTCCAAGAAAGGGAATGATCCTGTCACTATGATCACCCACTCGAGTGAATTCTCAGACTTCCCCAACATACCTAGGTTTTGAACCCTGAAGGATCTCATTGATTGACATATCAAAGACAGTCTAATCCTACACCCAGTGCAGTACCATAATCGAGTCTAGGGGTTAGGTGTAACTTTCCAGTTTTGCCCACCAGTCTCCAAGGTCCAGGGCATAATTGGAAAATGGTATGGGTTTAGTGTTTCAAGCAAACACACACTACATGTGCTTCAGGTCTAACCCTTGAAGCTGAGACAAGCTACCCCAACCGACTTGGCAGCACATCAGTGTCAGCCTTGGCAGGATAAACCTCCCCAGGTCTATCCAACGGCTGTGGACATTCTAAACTAACACGAGTCTCATAAGTATCCAGTTTAAGGATAATTACACAGAAACACACCAAGTATAACATGAATCAATTATGTACTTTATTTATTTACAATAAATGTCTAATGTACATCAATATAATTGGAACTAATGGCATACATTGTCTAACACTAAGTGCCATAGTCTAAAGGTGAGACATAAATCAATGTTGATCTAAAGAAAACTTAGCTTTGGTCCTTTTAGGCTTACGTGAGTAGATTTGACTATGCTAGTATAGTTGCAATGGTGTTACATACGATATTTCACATCTTTAGAAAACAGAGAAAACAAATGAGAAATGAGAAATGATATTCATAAAAACCATAGTAGCAAGTGCCTATCTATAACAAACGAGAGATGATTAAATATAATAAAGTCAAACAAATGTAAACCATAAGTTACTTGTCTTAGTACAAATTCTGTCTTCAAATCTCTTCCTACAAAATTTCAAACAATTGCTTCCACTCTATCTACATCATTATTATGCTAACATTGGTTACTTTGTGAAACATGCATTACCGCTTCATTGGATGCCAAATGTATTATATTCCTTGGCCCATCACTTACATGAGAAAATAAATAATGAGATTATATAGACAAATATTAAAAATTTATGAATAAATTTATAACTATACTCACCATGATTTTGAGGGACCCAAATTGCAAATGTACGCTTTCTATTCCCTACTTTGCCACAATATCCACATTTCCTTATCTTTCCTTGACCACTTGACTTTGCTCTCTTTCTACTAGGGTGACCTTTTGTCATCACTATGATAGGATTATGAATTGGTTCCCTGGTAAAATTCTTAGATTGACAAGGTTCAATGATTGTGCCACTTGTTTGAGCATTTAAGATTGAACCACTTCCTATATTTTCTAAGATCTCTAATAAATTCTCTATAACACCAGAAACTTGTTAAAATCCTTCTAATGATTTAGATCCCAAGTAACATAACGATTACATATGTTTGTAAGATCAGCACAATGAATTGTACATGCAACTTCAAGGTGTATTTTCATGATGGAATTGAGGTTATTTGACTCAACACCAGATCTAGCATGTTTGGTTCACCTTTTTCTTAATACAACTTGGAGAAATATCTCTAAGTTATTCTGTCTTAAAAACAGAAATCATATGCCCACATGGAAATCCCGTTTCTTCAAAGAACATATAAGATCACCTTGTGTTTTTCTCAATGTCATCATATAAAACTATCCATATATGTTTTGGATGTAAAAATTCAGAAATAGTGTAGGTGCTTTGTTGTTCACCATGCCTTTGAATATCAACTACAACATGACTTTCATCCTTCACGAGTTCTTTATAGAACTCCACATATGAGCTCTTAGTATATTTAGCTACCATTTGAACTTGATAACTCCTTAAAGGGTTTCCAATAATTGGTTGAGTCATTCTTGATTCATAATCCTCCTTTGCCTCTCGAGAACGATTATGTGCCAAAGCTAGTTCAAAATGGTGAATGAACTCATTAAGATTACACTTTACTTGCAAATATCGATTATAATATGCAATTTGACTCTCACATCGTTGAGTGCTTCTCATTCCTACAAAAAAATACCCCCTTAAATATGCTTCATCCCATTGTTTTTGTTTACCATAAATCTCATGTACCCATTCATTTGCACTTAGATTGTATCTTGTAATCATTGTTTCCCATGCAAGCTCAAACTCTTCAAGTGATCTTTCTAAATACATGCATCTGTTAAACTCATTAACAAAGCCCTCAATTTTCACATTAGCCATTGCATTCCTACTAAGGTTCCATGAGCATAACCGATATGGGCATTGCAAAAGTATCCTTTTGATTGAATTTGCCATTGCTCTATCACCATCATTGATAATAGAACCTGAAATTTTTTCATCCATTGCTTTAAGAAATGTGTTTAATGTCCAATCATATGATTCAATTGTCTCATCCGCCAACAAGGCACATGCAAATACAATTATTTGATGGTAGTTATTCACTCCAATAAATATAACAAGTGGTTTGTGATAAACATTTGTCCTATAAGTTGAAGCAAACACCAAAACATCACCAAAGCAACTGTAATCTACACGAGATTTGGAATATGTCCAAAAAAAGGTTTTTGAGATGCATCCCTTCACCAATAATGTATTAAAAAAGTATCTAGGGTCTTTTACACTTTTAGATTCCATAAAATCCAATATTGTATTTGCATCCCCATGTTTTACAATATCTTGCCTGATTGAATCAAAAAATTCTTAAGATCTTTGTCAGAAAAGCCTACATTGTGAAATCCTTCTAATCTTTGAACCATATAGTCCATTATGAATCTTCTTTTAACCCCTGCATTATGTAGGGCAGATATTTGAGTTATATCAGCATCACTTAATGCTCTATGTGATCTCATGAACATGGAAATGGGGTTTGGTGCAAGCTCATGTGTATGTTCATCAATGAATTCAGCCACCACCAATTTGTTTAATGTTTTGCAACCAAATCTTGTTAATCATTACGATGGTCGTTGCTAATTTTCACAATTCAAGTTGTGGTTCCTATGTCCTTCAGCAACACATACATCCATCAACAACATATTTATAACCTCTTCAAATACTAAACCCAATCTCCCTTGCATATAAATTGTATAACTGACATGCTGCATCCACATCTTCAAATTCCATGCCCATTATGTCTTCTGTTGTTAATTCAGTCCATTTCTTCATAGATACTCCATGGTTTAAATAACCATCTACTAAAGTATTACCTTCMWTTGCACAAGAAAAAATAATGTCTACGCAAGGTGTGCCTTATTTGATACTTTCTCACCTCAATAAATCCTTTATAAAAATAAAACAAATAAATTAATTGAAATTAACTTTGTAAACCAAAATTTGCAATACAATAACAGTAAGTACCACAAAATATGCAAAGGTTGGCTTCACTGAGGAATGTGCATAGTGCTGAATCAAAACCATAAATGATTTGAAAAATGCCCAAATATCGTAGTATGGAATTGGTAGACACAAAATAGTGCAGTACCAAAAACCTCTTTATAATTTTAATATAAAATGATTGCAAACTGTTTTTCCTACTATACTTGAATCCAATGAGTCTACTTGCTTAGCTATGCAAAGAAGGATAGTCTGCAATTTCCAAATCAGCATTGCAAAGTGGATATTTGTGACATAAACCAAAACCCAAGCAAAAGAGAAGAGCCTAAAGTTTCATCAAGAATGAGAAATCAAGTCATTGTTTAATCACTCTAAGACTATTTTCTTGATATAGAATCACCCAAATGATGAAATTTCTTCTATTCATATCAAATGTCATCCAACATACTTAGATTTATTGGAATATTTGGTGCATGTATTTATTCCTAGTGTTCTACACACAATACCACAATTAGACTTCCTCCTTCCTGTGCAAACTTAATAAACCATTATGCAAACTAGGATAGATTTATTTAAGATTCCATTTTGTTCCAACTTAAAACTAGAAATTCTAACTAAAAGAAACCATGGTTTTTGTGTTGCTTTTACATATGCCAATGGAAGTGGCTAGTGGGACTACAATATGGAGGGCATTGACAGTGAAGAAGTGGGTTGTCAGTAAGTATGGGAAGGTATGGGCTCCACTACATTGGGACGACTGGAATGGCGTTGAAAACAGAGAAATCTAGATATTTGATAAATGCCATTGATATTTTTCTTCTTATAATATAAATTTTAAATCCATATGGATTCATCAACCTCTATGCTAAATTGATTATGTGACTGCTTTGAATTTTAATTTTTATATTAAATAATAGAAAAAAAAGAAAGTAAATAACACAACATGTCACTTGTGATAATAAGGTTAATGAACAAAGGTTGGTATGATCAGTACAAAATACATTTCCTCTTACCCCACAACCTGTTCTATGTTTCTTGGTTTCCTCCAATTCAACATAGGCAAATCAGAGAGAGAGAGAGGGGGAGTGAGTCAGTTTGGGAAGGGTTTAATTAGATGAGTAAATGGTGGAAATTCAAAACTTTTGGGTACGAAGAGAGGGTTGGTTTTCTTTGTCGAAGATGAAAATAAATGGCTAAGCGGTTCGATTAGACATTGAACAATAAAGTTAGACTTTGACTCTTTTTGTCAACGTATCACACTCAAAAATACCTCAACACCCCAATACAAACACCAAAACCAGTTCACTATACCTGGGGTAGACAAATTCGCTCGATGATTTAAATCCCATTGAAAGCCTTCTCCAACCAATCTGGATCCCCACTCAAATCCTTCTCGAACCAATATTGGCAGGATCCAATCCATTCTTCCACAGTGCAATAGCACTTCTGATGATATCGTGAAATGACGTCCATTCTCATCAAGCTTTGACTACAATCCTTTCGGTGTTTACATGGTGTTGGTTTATATGTATAATAGAACACATATACATAGGAGAGAGGATGGGTGGAAAACATGGAGAGAGCAAAAGTYGGAAGGCTTCCCACGTTTGAGATTTTTTGGTAGATAGACACATGGTTTTTAAAAGCGAACCGGTCAGGGGTCCGGTTACCGGTTTGAACGGTCCGACCATTCGACCCGAACGGCTGGCCCATTCTGACAAAAAAAAATTTAAAAATTAAAAAATTGGAAAACGGTCAAAACCGTTCGAACGGTTTGAATGGTTTGAACGGTTAATCAGCCGGTTCACCGGTTTGCTGATCAAAATCAACGGTTTTGAGGGAAAAAAACAGTTTTAGAGGAAAACAGAACCAGTCAGGTGACAAGTTCCCAGTTTTTCCAGTCTGGTCCAGTTTTGAAAACAGTGGATAGACACCAACAAAATACGTTGAACCCAATATCATTTCCAACACAATTTTTTTCATTGCATTTCAGCCAAAGTAATTGCCCTCTTAAGCTATCAAGCACTTGGGAGGGCAGAGTTAAAGATTAAGTGTCCATTTGGTTTACACTTGGAATTGGAATCGGAATTAGAATCAAAATATTTCGGAATCAGAATTAGAATGGTCTATTCCCATAGTTTGTTTGGCTTAGATAGGAATAGGAATGGGAATTGAAATCAACAAAAATTAGAATGGGTTAAGGAATGGCCATTCCCTCAAATGGAGGAATGCCAATCCAAAAGAAATGGGAATGAGATTCCGATTCCACCCAACCAAACTGTTGGAATCGGAATAGGCCATTCCAATTCCGATTCCAAACCCCTATTCCTGTGTGAATCAAACAAATTGTAAGTTTATTCAGCTGATATGAAGCAATCTACATAATCTATTCATTGCCCTTTGTAAAAGTGAAGGATAGTTAGGGTTGTAATTAGATAAGATTCAACAAAATCCGAATACGATCCAATTACTCAAAACTTGCATGTGATTCTGATCCAAACTCCAATTGGATTTAAAGACTTTAGATTCGAATCCAAATCCTAGTGGACTTAGATCAGGTTAAGATTTAAATCAATTCTACTTTTACTTTTTTAATATAAAAAAAATAAAAATTATAAATTGGATGTAGATTATAACATCTACATTCAATCTGATTACATAAATACATCATCCAAATGCAAAATAATCCAATCAAGTCTCAAATTTTCAGGTATCATTTGAAGAAAGTGTTAGGATCCATCATATGAATGGCCGAACCATGCTAGATAGTTGGGTGAAATTTCAAAACTTTCCTAATTCTTCCGAGAATCGAATTTTCTAAGTTTTTAAAAAGCTGCATTTTACAGGATCGGTCTTGCACTGAACCAGACCGGGTTTGAAACCAACCAAAGAGTGAGATGTATACCTGATACAGATACCAAAAACACATATCCCAAGGTGGAAGTTCATGCCCAAATCAGTCCTAAAACCAGCATCCACTGAATATGGCACAGTGTATTCTTGAAGTCGGTTCAGTAATTCAGTTTTCAGCAAAACTGCAATCCAACTACTTACATCAAATTGAGGAAGGTGAAACTGATCTCTATCAGTCCCAAAATAGCTGTGGTCAAACTAGGGTTTCTTGGGAGACAAAAAGAAGAAGAGATAACAAAATAGAGAGGTGTTCTAGTCTAGTTCGCCCTTTTCTTCTTTTATCTCTTTATGGAGCATTTATCCTAATCAAATTATGAGATTATCCAAATCTAATTTGGACCTGGGCTCTATTAAGAGATAAGCCTTATCCTCTTAAGATGATGGGTGCTCCATATCCATTTCCAAACCCTGATTCGCCCCATGTCACCTGACAACTTAAGCTCTCATGTGACAACTTAATTAATCATATTAATTATGGGCCTTAGAACCATCAACTATAAGGCTCATGACCCAAGGGTGTTTCTGGCCAACATAGGCCTGATTTGTATGGCGTAGGACCCCACAATGACTTTACATAAGTCCACATGGGTTCGGCCCAATCATTCACTTTGTCCGACTGGGTCCAATATGGCTTTATATGTTATACAATAGTTCCTGGTACAAATTATTTAACAAGCTCGTGTTTTAAGTTATCTATTTAATTAGATAACTTATTTATGTAGTTAAACGATCCTAATTAACTTAATTAGGTAACATAATTATCAATTGTTATTACTAGCAACACTATAAAATTTGTAGTTTTAATCCATTTAAGTCGAGTTTAAAAATTATAAAAACTATAAAAATTAATTCTTATTCGTTAATAAAATAGTAATAATAATAATTTTTATTAATTGAAAGTGCAATTAAATTACTAATCTTATATATAAAATCAATTTTTCTATGAAAAAATTATTAATTTAAATTTTGTTTAAAATAATTATATTAATAAAGCTTTATAGCAATGTTTTAAAAAACCAACTCGGTACTAGAACTACTTTAGCAACTAGTTTCTGGGTGAGCGGTTCGACCGTCCAGTTCAAATGAACAACCCATTTCAATTTAAAAAACAAAAAAATAATAATTATTGTCTAGGTCGAACGAGTTAATAGTTCCACTACTTAGATGGTTCCTGGGTTGAATGGTCTGACCATTTGGGTCAACAACAGTTCAAAAACACTACTTTATATATAGTATGCCTATATCCTAACCTAGCCCATGATTGCACCGAATTAAGAATGTCATAAGGCTCTATCTACTTCATTTTCTCTCGAAGAAGTCCATGCATGACAAAAATAGAGCATAAGAGAATAAAGGTGTCAACCTAATAACCTATAAACCAATTTCCAATTTAAATTAATGGCTCTTGACTTTTCAAAATGCATCACAAAAAAAAAAAAAAAAATTACAATCGAAAGACTAATGGGTTGGATTGGTATCAGGTTGAACTCTATAGGGTTAGGGAGGTTGACATGGGTTTGACTCAACCCCAACCTGACCCTCCCATGCTTCCACTCAAACCCAACCCAACCCAAGTCCCGACTTAATACTATGCAGATTTTGAACCTGTCTTGGCCTATAGAGTTCAACTCAATACTAACCCAACCCATCCTATAGTCTTTCAATTGCATTTTTTGTGATATTTTTGAAAACTCAAGAGCCATTAATTTAAATTGCAAATTGGTTTATGGGTTCCAAGGTATCGCTTTTGCTAAGTGAAAGAAGAAAAAAAACACAAAAACAAATAGTGAAATAAATCATAAGGTTAGGGGTTAGAAGTCAAGCCAAATTACAAGAATACTCTTTCTATGTATAGGAATATTATGACCCAATGGGTGGGGGTTAGACAAACTTGAGCTCAATTTGGGTTAAATAATCAA